AGAAGACGAAATGCAGGAATGTTAGCAAAAGGAATATCCTAAAATATAAAAGACACAAATTGGAGATACCAAAAACAAACAACAATAACTATCTAAATATCTGGGGATTGTTTTAACAGAGGGCAGAAAGCGCGACAGTGAAATCCGAAGGCGCATGGTGATTGGCCAAAGATGTGAAAGATGCTGATCGTTATAAACAATGAAAAGATTATTGGACTATTATGTAATATCTGCCCCCCTATACCGTCCTGGATATGACGATAAACTACATCCGCGTCCTGGGAAAAGACGATAAACTACGTCCAACAGCAAGGCCTCTGATCAGGAGGTTTTGAGAAGCGTGGAACCAACTCTTAATTGCTGGCGTTCTCAGGCCCACCCTGAGCCGGGGTGGTAGCACCTGTTAGAGGTCCCAGCTATGAGCAAATATTTGACACCCAAACTTGTGTAAAAATAGGTTTTAATACCAGAAATGCTTTGTAATAAAAAAAATATTACCAGCAATAATTTTTGAAGGAAAAATTATTATCAGCAATACTTTAAAAAGAAAAGTATTAGCAATATAAACAGCTATACATTTTTTTGAAAAAATATTACCAGCTATAGATTTGTTCAAGGAAAAATATTCCCAGAAATAGATTTTTGAAGAAAAACATATTACCAGCAATAAAAATTTTGTCGGCATTAAATAACCCATTGAGGTAGATATACCGTGAAACAAGCTAAACCAAAGCAAACTTTCCTCCTATAGGTTGGACAATCTTCTCAAATATGAAGAAGAGACTTAAAGCAATATAAATCAGTTGGTATATAGATAATAATGAATATGAGAATAGAAAATAATAATAACAATTATAATAACAGAAAGAATAATAATTATAATAACAGAAAGAATATTCATAAGGATGAATTGAGAATTGTTTTGTCATTTCTGCCACTGAGTAATTTTTGTGATGTCAATGAATACTTATTGCTCCTTTTGTGATATCAACGAATACCCGTTGTCACTTTTGTAATGCTCGTTGTACGAGAAACTTTGTAATCGCAGGTACAACTCTAGTAACGCGGGTTGGAAAATACTTATCAGATCGCCTACGAATATTACTAATAGTATTTGCTCGATAATACTCACTCAAATAGTACCCGCCGAATAGTTCTACCGAATGATGCTGAGTATACCATGGATCGAACATGTGAGCAACGACGAAATGAAAACAAATTGGAAACTTATACTGAACATCTAGAAAAAAGATTAAATTTCTGTGACACATAATGAGGAAGGATTGCTTAGGAAATCCAATACTCAAGGAACATATTGAGAGCAAAAGGGACAGAGGAAAAAAATGCATAACATATTTAGTGAGCTTGAGTAAATGGTTGACGGAACATGTTTGGGAGAGATAACAAAAAGACAATGCTTATTAGGGACTAAAAACCACAGGAAAGTTTGGAGAGCCATTGTCGCTTATATTGTGAAGGGACACGGCACATAGAAACGTGTTGATACTGGCACTGTTACTAGAGTGGTTTGGTGGGACATATCTTCGGAAGGGGAATGAAAGCACTTTTGATTACATTTGAATAAACAGGTGTCGAGGTAATGTTACAATAATACTATTTACTAATAGCAAACAACGGCCTCCAAATCAACAACGATAAAAAAAACGGATGACAATTAAACCTACGCCTTTAAATTCATCAACTACTTCGACATTATTCCCCCGTGGCAAGCAGGTAAAGATGAATAATTAATAATGTTTTCGTGCGCAGGCAGCTAGCTAGCAACCTGTGACCAGTCAGTTGGCGTATAGATAATAATGAAAGAATAGAAAATAAAAAAATAATGAGAATAATAATTATAATAACAGAAAGAATATCTAGAAGAGTGAATTGGTAATATTTTGTGTCATTTCAGCCACTGAGTAAATTTTGTGATGTCAACGAATACTCGTTGCGACTTTCGTAATGCTCGTTGTAGTAGATACTTTGTAATCGGAGATACAATTATAGTACACCGTTGAACAATACTGGTGTCAGAACGCCTACGAATATCAATCGCACTAATAGTACTTGCTCGATAATAGTAACCACCGAATAGTAATCCGTATAGAGAAATTGTATATTGAATAATATAGACTAGTTATCCGTGTAGTAATAGAGGATAGAATAGAAACAGAGATCCAAATAGTAATAGAGGATAAACTAGAAATGGCGATCCGTATAGTAATAGAGGATAGACTAGAAATGGCGATCATATAGACGCCAAGCAACTTCCGACTTATGCGTTTCCTCTAGTGAAGGATGTTGAAACTGTGATTATTATTTTGTCACTTGGATTTTAGCGGAAGTTGACAGAAATTACTACAGCGAAACCGTCCTGGGTATGCCGATAAACTACATCTGCGCCCTGGGTAAGACGATAAACTACGTCCAACAGCAAGGCCTCTGATCAGGAGGTTTTGAGGAGCGTAGAGCCACCTCTTAATTGCTGGTGTTCCCAGGTCCAACCTGACCCGGAATGGTAGCACCTGTTAAGGTCCCAGCTATGAGCAAATAGTTAACCCCGAAACTGAGGTAAAAAATATTATAAAATATTACCAGCAATACGTTTTTTGAAGAAAAAAAGGAAAACTATTACCAGCAATATGTTTTTGGAAAAATAATATTACCAGCTATAAGTTTTTGAAAAAGCAATATTGCCAGCTATACGTTTTCGAAAAAATAATATTACCAGCTACAAAACAAAAATATTACCAGGAAAAAAAAGTTGTCGGTATAAAATGACCATTGAGGTTGATATGCCGTAAAACAAAACAAACCAAACTACAGCGAAAACTTAAATAGCAAGTTACTTAAGAAATCTTGCAAACTATGCATAGGGGTTTTTCCAAAACACCTGCCATGAATTGTTCAGGGAAGCGAATGTTATAGACTCAATACAAAAATCGCCCGAGAGAAAAGTTCAATGGGATGCGTTGGTGTTCAAACAAATCATTCAATTCAAAGCAAATGCCCAGATTGAAACATGATTAACAAGTTGTTCGTCAGTGTTGCGTTCCGTGTCGTCTATGGAACCCGACACGATGGTATTAACAAAAACACCGTCCTGAGTATGACATCCGACAAACAAGGCTTCTGATCAGGAGGTTTCGAGGTGCGTGAAACCACCTGTTAATTGCTGGTGTTCCCAGGTCCAACAATAAATTTTGGAAAAAAACAAATACCGTCAATAAATTTTTGAAAAAAAAAATATATTACCGTCAATAAAAATCTTGTCGGCAATAAATAACTCATTGAGATTGATATACCGTAAAACAAACCAAGCCAAATCATTGACACGTTCAATAAACGTCATGTTTTTATTTTTGATCTGTTATCCATTCGCTACGTTCTTTTCAAAATCTTTTATAAAATATTATATAATCGACATACACACGCTCATCCATTTATGTGTGTGTGCATATGTGTGCTTTGGCGCGCTCCCGTGCGTGATGCGCGACATGGCAAAATAGGTAATTACTAGTTCAAACAAACGTATCAACAATTAATTTTGGAAGAAAAAAATTATTACCACCAATACCAGTAGTAAATTTTTTGAAAATGTACTGCTGGTAAAAAGTTATTGCTGGTAATAATTTTAAAAAGAAAAATATTACCAGCAATATATATTTGGAAAATATTACCAGCAATATATATTTGAAAAAAAAAATTATCAGCAATATATATTTGAAAAAAAAATTACCAGCAATATATTTTTGAAAAAAAAAAATTACCAGCAATACATTTTTGAAAAAAAAAATTACCAGCAATAAAAATCTTGTCATTAAATAACCAATAGAGGCTGATAATAATTTTCCAAGAATAGCTTATGTGGCACAAGGCCGAATTTAGGGAGCACCCAGTGAAACTCGAAGTCACTCGTAATTGTTCTAGCGTAATCAAGCTTGCTAACCATTACACCACCGCGAGGTGCCCAACTAATAGAGGTAGATATGCCGTAAAACAAACCAAGACCAAACCTAATTTACGAAAAGACTATTTCTTTATTTTACTCGTTTTTATTATTGGAACGTGACAGAATTCTAGGAGACAGGCGACGTCAGGTAAAAATATGTCGCTCGTTTGCTTAGCGTTCGTCTGCTATAGGAAGCGTGTCGATGCTTCAAAGTTCTTACGGCCCTCCGTTGATTTAGCACCGTTTCAGACTTATATCCAGACAAAGGGAGTCTTACTGTCAGAGTTCCACGCACCCGTGATATTCTGGCCAATCACTGACCCCCCCCAACTGGCGTTCGCATTCTGTAACTTTAGATAGTGGATTTCTCTTGTCTAGTTTTTATGGACATCGTTAAATTTTTACTTTATGATGGCCAGGCTTTAAGATGATTCAACAGCGACGCGAATTCATTATCAAACCTGTAAATGTTCGTTACTATTCGCAAGCAATCGATAACATTTCTGCTAAAGTTTCGTTCCACTTTCACTGGTTATATCGAACGTTAACATCTTCCAATGAGTAAATTCTTGTCGTCGAGTATTTACCTTTAATTACCTGTTTGATTCCTCTTTTTTATTCTTAAATTAGTCTTTCAACTGATTTAATAAATATTTGCCAAAACTGAAACGTTCTGAAAAATAACTGCAAAGTGCTTGACGAATATGAAACTGGAAGCGAATCCACCTCTTCTCCCTCCAGCTATGGGTTAAATAGAATTACCGTTATTGAAAGGGGGATAGACTTACTTGAACATGTAATCAGTATTGAATTGATTGACTAATTTGTTTTCTACGGCTTGTCAACCGATTCCATGTTATTTAAAACTAGAAAATATTTTTAGATTGCAAGACTATTTTTGAGATAATAATGGTTTAGTGAAACAAGTATTACTATTTGACCCATACCTGGAGGAAAAGAGCTGGATTCATAACTATTTGACTGGAATTGAAACTCGGCTCTCCGATTAATAATTCTGAGCCATCACACCACACGCATGTCCAAGCTTACAGCACTTGGTATTTCCAAGCTGTCACCCATCTATGTACTGGTCAAAGTCGATGTTGCTTAACTTTGGTGATCGGACGGGAACCGGTGTTTCTACGTGATATTTCCGTATGCAAATCAGGAGAGGAGGTCAAAGCTATGTGTATCGATCCTAAAAAAGACAACTTCCCTGGCAAAAGACCATTTTGTAGGCAACTATAGAAATTGGAAAACCAAATCAGAGAAGATACAGGAATACCTCTCTGGCATTTGAAAGAATTCCCCCTGGACAGTAAGAAATGGCAAAGTTGTACGCACAAGAAAAGTGCATTGATTTCTTAGAGTTTGTGCCAGCAACCTGACCTACATAATTCTACATTATGATATGATAAATTATAAAAGCCGTCAACGAAAGTAATATTGCGTTGTTTGTCCGGTTTATACTCCTCCCCAGTCTTTTGACCATGAGTAGGAGTTTATCCCTTTTTCCCTGTTTAAGAGTGGATTTTGGATTCCTTCTAAAGTCTACTTATACTTTATACTTCTAAAATCTCCGCTTATTTATAATTCTCGTTCCCCAATAGGAATAGATAAGCTTATCTTTCGTTTCATGATCCTTCCCTTTTTTTAATAGGAGTAGAGGTTTATCCATTGTTTCCCTTTTAAAATTGGGTTACTGTTTTTTTTTTTTTTTTTTTTTCAACTCTGTACTTCTGACGGCTTCATCTGAAATCTGTAATTTTATTCAGTATTAGGCATGGTGGAGTAATGGATACCGGCTCGGATTGAGAAGTTCGAATTTCAGTCGAATCCATAACATTCACTTACGTGCTAATACCCTTTCGAAAGTTACGAATCCTCTTCTTCCTCACCACCAGCTATGTATAACTAGCAGGACAGATCGGCTTCTGTAGCCTTCGATAGCAAATTGTCTACCGAAAAAAGAAATGGAATCCTGCTGGGAAAAAATTGCCTCGTCAGTCATGTATCGAAGGATAAATGATCGCCTAACTGTGTATCGCGCATGGCACATAACTAACTGAATTATTAATATTGTTTTCCTTTTCCAGTGTGAGTAGATAGCTTTGCCTATCACCCAATTCACACTCCTTACCGATCTTTTGAACAGGAGTAGTTTTATCCCTTGCTTCCTGTTTAGGATTGGATTTCTGGTTCCTTCTAAAGTGAACTTCAACTTTATACTTCTAACAACACTTCCATTAACTAATTAAATCTTCATAACTTCAAGTCTAGAATTAGCTTTTATCTTTCCTGGATAAACTCAAGAATTTCATTTCTTTCCCTTTCTTACATTAATATAACTCCACACAGTAACACTCTACCTTGAGTGGACTTTGGGGCTTGTATTTGGTGAACATTATTATTAAAAAAAAAAAAAAAAAAAAGATTTTACAGTTTAGCGCTTTCAGTGTCTTTTCCCGCCACTTAAGAAATGGTAAGACCAAATCAAAAGATACTGTAATACTACATCTGAAACTTAAAATAATTTCCTAGAACAGTAACAGCTGGCCGTGTTGTGTGGAAAAGAAGCGTGAAAGGATATCTTTGGGATTATACAAAGAAGAACAATGCAGAATATTTTTCATTTTTTCTTTATTTTTGATCGTATGTCTGTTTCACACTTAAGTTAATCTCCTATCTGTAGTAAAAAAAAAAAAAGGAACCTGTTACTTTGATAGGAGAAACTCAAGGCAATAATTACATTTTCGCTTTATAATGGGCCTATCTGAATGTATCCCTATTGTAAACAGGAGCAGATGTCCATAATTTACCTCAAAGTTTTACTCTATTCATTTCTTCCTTTAACATAGTTTTAGCGTCCTGGGTAAGACGATAAAATACAAGAAACAGAAATGAGGGGGAGGTTTTGAAAAGCGTGGAACTACCTCTTAATTGCTGGTGTTCCCAGGTTCACCCTGAGCCGAGGTGGTCACACCTGTTAGGGTCCCAGCTATGGTCAAATAGTTAACCCCCAAACTGGAGTCAAAACACTATGAACGTGTAAAAATAGGTTTTAATACCAGAAATACTTTGTTAAAAAAATATTACCAGCAATACATGTTTGAAAAAAAAATTACCAGCAATAAAATTTTGTCAGCATTAAATAACCTATTGAGGTTGATATACCGTAAAACAAACTAAACCAAGTACATTTGCTATGTCGTATTTGCGCCTAGTTATTCTAGTTCTTCTGACTGAATTTCTGGAATCAGGAGTTATTACACCGTTTAAATGCGGATCTGATGAGAACAATAGCCCGCATAGAAACATTGTAAATAATTTTTAGGTTAGTTTACATTAATTTGGTTATTTTAATCATATATAATCCCTTGTTGATTTATTAATATCAACTGTAAAAAAAAATCCAATAAATTAATATATTCAGTGGCCTAAGAAAAGATTTTAGCCCGGAGAAATACACTACATCCAATTTCAAAACTTAATTACGAAATCCCTACTCAAGATTAATAGTTCGATCTCGCCGGAGATAAGTAAGATACACTTATGACTTTGTTTCATCTTAAACTAATTTGATTAAATATCACCAGAAATATTGTTTTCATTAAAAGGTATCCTAGCTTTCTGTGAAACAATATTCTAATCCGATTTTTTTATTATTTACTGGGTGCCTCGCTCTAAGCTTAGTACAAATCCATAATCCTCGTTGATGTTCATGCATTTCAACATATCTTTTCTTTTTATTATTTGTGATATGCCATCACTTTTTTTTTTTTTTTTTTTTGGTGGAGGGGAGAAGGTTGTGAAATGGTTTCCTATTGTCCTCTCTTTGGTTTCAAAGTCGTCGTTTTGCTTGACCGGTTATCAACTAAGGCAAGAGACTTCAGTCTACACTATTATTTCACCCGTACCTAGATAGATAAGATGTGATGGATTTCATATTTTGTGAAGGGGAACGTAACATGCTGTCATAATTTGAACTCGGCGTCCCGATCCTACTTCCGGCGTCGATTACCGCTACGCCATCGGCACTCTCTCAAAATAGCATTAAAATTATTAAAAATAAATTTGAATTAAATTATTTATTTGTTCGCCATTTCTTAATTGCTTTTTGCAGCAAAATTACTCCGGTCTTCAATCTATAGTAGTGATTGTTTGATTTATATATATATAGGGCGTATCAAAAATACTTATACAAACATTGGGGTCAGGTTCCTCCCACCATAACAAGGAAAACCGTCCATATAAGCATATGTCCGCAAATCCTTTGTTTTTGAGTTATTAATTTGAAAGTTTACGGTAGACGCTGTTAAATGTTCAATCCACAAATTTCAGTAAAAACGACAGACAAGGTACTGTTATTAAGCTTCTTTATTTCATTCTGTCCGTATAACACTTTTCCTTTCTGTGCATAAAGTGTGTAAAAATTATCCAAATGTCCCCTATATCCAAGCGATTTTGACTATTTTTGTACATTATAAAAGATTTTTTTAACTCTATGTACGTTTTTTTTATGTAGGTATTTAGAGTTATAGGATTTTTGAAATTTTACAGACACGGTCAGCATATTGTGGCCATGTTCATATTTGATATTATTGAGTGTTGGACGCTTCTTATTGATTATTTGTGCTTCCATTATTTTAAGTTTTTTTTACATATAGATGAGGCTATTATACTTGTATTGCAGATGAATTTTGGTAGGCTACCATGCGTGTTTAAACGAATCCTAATTGAGCTATTGTCAGATGTGTAAAGTTAGTATATATATATATATATATATATATATATATATATATATATATAGTATAAGACCTCTGACGAGTGGCTACTAGCTTTGCGAATTAGGAAAGTTGAATATTAAAGTTTGTGTTGCCATACACACACACACACACATATACACACATATATATATATATATGCGTGCATGTGTATGGCAACACAAACTTTAATATTTAACTTTCCTAATTCTGAGTTTTGCAAAGGTAGTAGCCACTCACCATAGATCTTTACTATAATAATAATAATACAGCCCACACCTTACGAAGGTCTTTATCTATGTAAAATATGTGCACGTATTTTTTTTTTTAATTGGTCAGTGGAAAAGGCGGGACCCGGAAAGAAATGTGTACCCACCAGAAATCAAAGGTAATATAATAACATATAAATAAAGGAAATCTCAAAACCTGGCACATGAGGATATCAGTAATTCCAGTTGTAGATGGAGTACTATGACTGATTGGAAATGTGCCCGATAGAATCACCGAAGGGATTCTTTCTACCCCATGCCTTAAACAAATTCAAAGAAATGGACTCACAAGGACAGCTGACACATTACGAAGGGCTTTATTTATGTAAAATGTGTATCATCTTACGTTTTTGTTTTTTGCTCAGGGAAAAATGTCAGTCATTTTGACCTTAGGTCTCTGGTTGTGATCCGGAAGTTAATGTATATACAGCAGAAATCAAAGGAAATAATAATTTTATATACATTATTTATTATGAACTATAATTTTAATTATTGCAATATTTTATCGAATCAAGTAATTGATATGCATGTTTCCCATATATTACTGAAAATATTTTCTTTTAGCAAACAACTATAGAATTTGCCTGTCTATGCAAATATGAACTCGGTCGTATAACTCTGAACAGACCGATAGAAATAATGAGCACGGTTTTAAAAAAAAAAAATGGGCATGTATTTCAAATATTCACAATAATAACGTTTGAAGTAATATATTTTGAAAGTTATTTTTATTCATTAATATGATTTTCCTTCATTGTATGTGGACAAGACAGAAGATAGATTGTTACTTTTACTTAATTTTATTTTTAGTTTAATATTCAGGAAATGTTGGATATAATCAAGAAAATACAGAGAAACCTAAAGCTTTTGATATTTTATAAATACAATGCAATTGCAAAATTGCGTCCAATATCTTCGTCATTTATTGGTGGCATCGGTTGTCAAAGAATAATAGCGAAAAACCTGCACGGTAAATTTAAGAAAAATTGTCGACTGACTATTGTTCTACAGTGAAGTTTTCTCTTGATGTAACCATTTTTTTTCTCTTTTTTATTAAAATGTTATGTTATCAAGATCGTATGATTTATTTGAGGCTTAACCAGTTTTCAAGAATGAAAA